CAAATACCAGAGCTTAAAGCTTATAGAGAAGGACGGGATGTACTTCTTGCTTTTGAGAATGATATGGGACCTGCCTTACGAAAAATGTGTGATGACAACTATGACAGTGATGCAATATGCCTCGCCAGAGCAGCATCAATTGTACGCAAAGACATGTTAGACAGGAATATGAAGTTTATTGGTTCATTCGATAAGGATTGTCAGACAAATGCAGTTCCCCAGTCACTATTAGCTCTGGTAGACATGATTCTTCATGGTCCTAACATTAACTCTAAATATAAAACTCAAGCAACACTTAGTATAGCACAGCTACTGCAATTCAATAGCTCTAAACGTCGAAGAGAAGGAAGTACTGGTATTTACCATAACAAATCAAGAGAAACTCCACTTCCAATTTATTTGGGAGTTACAGTGCATGCAAAAACAAGAAAACGTGATCTCATAGATTCACTGTTTCATTTGGGTTTGTCTATTTCATATGACCGTGTAATGGAAATTTCCACATTAATGAACAACCGTATTTGTCAAAAATATCATGCTGAGCAATTGGTTTGTCCTCCTAATTTAAGACCAGGACTATTTATTACAGCAGCCATAGATAATATTGACCACAATCCTAGTTCAACAACTGCTGCAGATTCTTTTCATGGCACTGGAATATCACTTTTTCAGTATCCTACTCCTGACAATGAAGGTCGTTGTGAAAGCCATATTGAGACCAGTGATGAAGAATTATTGCCATGTAATACTCTCTTTGAGTTACCAGATTCATATACCAATGTTCAACCATTAGTTCTACCGAAGAAAGATGTCAAACTCCCAGAAGCTGACTTTCCTCTGAACAATAATTTTCATATTTTTGACCAAGCATCACAAAATGAAACAGAGTAAGTACAATTTACATAGCTAAGTCATAGTTTCATTTTGTTTACACATATAGGTGGTTGAATAATGTTGAAGAAAAATACATGCAAGATGTCACATATGACAGCAACATATCTTGGGCTGCATACCATGCAAGTCAGCTTGAAGTACACAGTTGTCTTCCTACAATCACAGCTATGCTGCCACTATTTCAAGATGACTCCAAATCAGTGGCCATGATACGACACTCCATGGATGTTATCAAGCAAGCTGTCGACAAACTCCATCCTTCTCAAGTACCAGTCATTACTTTAGACCAGCCTTTATATCAGGGTTGGGGCGAAGTACTTTGAAAAGTACTTAAGTAAAATCCAAGTACATTTACAAAATACTTAAGTATAAGTACAAGTACATGATCGCTTTTGACAAAAGTACTTAAGTATAAGTACAAATACTTGGATATGTACTTAAGTATAAGTGTAAGTACTTTTTAGAGTCGATTTAATCTTCAAAACATGAGCTCCTGTTCAGTTACAGTTAGAAATAAGTGAAGAGACTGGCCAACTACCCAGCTAAAGACAAAGTAGTGATACTAGAATTTGCACTTGCTTTCTGTGATACACTGATATAGTATTGAAAGTACATGTAATCACACTAGCTGTGGTAATAATATACACATTATACAATCTGTGCTTAAAAAGACTTAAAAGTACTTAAAAGATTTATAAGTACATGAAGTACATCAAGTACATAGACCAATACTTAAGTATAAGTACAAGTACATTGGTAAAATTTAAAAAAGACTTAAGTATAAGTACAAGTACCAAAAAATATGTACTTAAGTGCACTTAAGTACAAGTACCAATGTACTTCGCCCCAACCCTGACAGCAGCTGCTACTCTACCTCCAATTCAAACAGACCAATAATGTACATGTACGGTATATACCATATGTACGCTCTTCTTAACAATATTACCATATTAAGACATGAAATGGCTCTTTAATTTAGTCCACCTTCTAGCATTAATAATTAGACATGGAACATTAATCATACAACAGTGACAGTATGAACATTAACTAGCTACAAAGATACATGTACATGTATAATAAATATTGTATGGACATTATGTACATGTACATGTATTAGTTCGTAATAATGTAATGATATAATCAAGACTAATGATTTGTAGTACCAAATAAAGAATATTAATCTTAATTGTATTAGGATGGTCAGTAGTGAATCACCTTCCTCTTTATCAATTCCCTAATCTGTCTGTACCTCTCTCTCTCTCTATCCTGTTTTATTCCTTTCCGACAAATTAATTGTTCACTATACTCCTTTGTCTTTATCCCACCCTCTCTCTCTCTCTCTCTCTCTTTTTCCCTCTGTCTGTCTGTCTATCTCTCCCTTTCTCTCCCTCTCTCTCTCACTCCCTTGTAGTCTATAAAGTGTACATTACTTATTATTGTTGCTACATTAACAGTTTTTATTAATTAACATTTTAAGAGAGGGAGGAGGAGGGAGAGATTGGAAAACATAATAATAATAATAATAACTGAGGCTCAGGAAAATAATAGCACAGTATTAATAATAATAATAATAATAATAATAATAATAATAGCAGTAATAATGATAATAGTAATAATAATAATAATAATAATAATAATATTAATACCAATAAGAGCAATAAAATAGTAAATAAATAGATTAAGTTAATTGCAATATGCTACCAGCATCTAACGAGAAGAAAGGAAGTGGGAAAAAGTGAAAAAAGAAAAATTATTTCATTTTAATTTAAAAAATTTGTCAAAAAGCATACATGTAGCTACAATTATTCTACAGCTCCATATTTTGTAGTCTCAAATTTTTGCAATTTAACGTATGGAATTTGATAAAATTTTTTGCACATTAGCCAAGACATAAAATTTGAACATCAATAATTTTATCATTATAAAAATCAAGAAAAATCCCCAAAATTGACCAAAAATGTTGTATCTACACATGTACATGCATACATGTATGTACTACACAACTTACTACAAAACATGAACATCAACTTTAACATGTACATGTACAACTCTCTCTCTCCCTCTCTCTCTCTCTCTCTCTCTCTCTCTCTCTCTCTCTCTCTCTCTCTCTCTCTCTCTCTCTCTTACTTGCTATATCCAGTTTATATTCAGTATCTTCTTGAGTATTTTCAAATTGTTGCAGCTGCTGAGCTGAAGGGGTAGAGGGAGAGAGAGAGGTCCTTGTGTTGTTGCTGATGTCTTCATAATTTCCGGAGTAGTAGCGAACATCTCTGTCTCTATCTTCT